CTCTTTCCTTGCTACAGCTCGAAATGCAAAAATCACAAAATGAAGCTGCGTGTGAGGATCTGCGTGCTCGCATCCGAGAGCTCTGGGACAGGTTGCAAATACCAACAGAAGAGAGACAAGCTGTGGCCCTGGTTGCAACTGGTTCGAAGGCCAAGGTGAAGAAAGCGGTAAGAAACCCAAAGGGCTGGGCCCGCTGTGCCCACGAGCATTCTTGTGTCAGGGCTGATGTCTTCACCAGCTTCTTCCTGGAGCAAGCCTATTTCTAAGAGAAGCATCAGGAAAAGGTGGCAGTAAACTGTATCTTTTATCTTTTGTGTACGTTTCAAAGATTTCTGGCTCCTATGATATTGTTGTAAGAGGTCTGACTTAACCTCTGAGGTTTTGTGTTGTCGTTTTATTAAAAAGGGAAAAATTTTGCTAAGCTACCGAGTGTAAAACTGTAGTACATACCTTTATCAGATGTCTTTGTTTCAGCTGCAACTAGAAGTGGATCGTCTGGAAGAACTAAAAAGGCAAAACATGAAGAAAGTGGTGGACGCAATACGTGTGGAGCTGGCTCACTACTGGGACTTGTGTTTTTATAGTCAGGAGCAGAGACAGGCTTTCGCCCCATACTATGACGGTTAGTACAGAAGCGGTGGTCATTACGAGGCCTGCACTTCTAAAAGAGTACAGACGTGCACCAGGAGGTACTTCCTCTGCTTAACAGATACCACCTTTTCCTGCCATTCCTGTACACACGAGCATTCGCAAGTGCTGCTGGGAAGTAAGGGGTCTCCTGCTTTCTATTTCACTGTAGCCTGTAGTGGTGAAGCTCACGTTTATCAGGCGCTCACTCTCTGCCAGATGCAGTGCCGAACTCTTAACAAAATTCTCTCACTTAATCTTCTGTCAAGAGATGAGGACACGAAAGCACAGAAACGTTGACGAATTTAGAGGCACAGCAGGTGAGGGCAGAGCTCACATGTGAGCTCACAGAATCTGACCCCAGAGCCCAACAGAAGTCTAGGCTGACCTGAACTGAGTATGAAGATGAGGCTGTCCGCTACACTCCACATTTGGGACATTTTATGTGACCCAGCCCTTTACGGGGCAGGGTGGAAAGGAAGAATACAAAAGAAACCGAAGACGAGGCCAGAAATGACAAAGAGGTTTAAGAACCTTAGTCATTTTAGTCCTCACCCTAGTCCCTTACTCCCTAGTCCACCCAGGCTGATGGTGACACAGCTGGCTTTTATTATCCACAATGTATAGTTATCCATGTAACATTTTTACTATAACAGATATTTCCACTTTAAGGGGACGAGAGATTAGTAAATTGGGATGCTACACACTAGAAGGATTCTTTTTTTTTTTTTTAACTGGGCCCGTATCTTGCAGAGGAGCCTACAGAAAATCTGTTCCGGCTCCACGATGCTGAGATTGTGCGGTTAAGAAACTACTACGAGGTTCACAAAGATCTCTTTGAAGGTGTCCACAAGTGGGAAGAAAGCTGGAGGCTTTTCTTAGAGTTTGAGGTACTGCCCTAATTTTTCCGTTTTCCTTAGAGAACAATGAAGTGTTAAGAAAGCGTGACCTGTATAGAGTCAGAGTCCAGTTTCCTTCGCTCTCTACCGGGTTTGTCATGCCCTGTCTCCATCATGAAGTCTCTGAATTGCTGCTAACCCATTTCTATTTATTAGTCTAATGTGCGGGAACATGCAAGAGAGAAACCCCAAGTAAGTGGCTTAAATGAGGCCACTTAAAAGTTCCTTTCATGAAGGAAGTCCAGGGTGGGCCGCGCAGGGCTAGTGTGGCAGTTCCAGACAGTGGGTCCCAAGTTCCTGCAGCTCATGGTCACCCCACCACTAAGGGGTGCACCTCATCCTCGGGTCCTGCTGG